GCTTCGCTGAAGAGCCGTCCAGGACGCGGAGCCCTGCTGGCAGGCTCCTACTCTGCACCGATGCCCCCCCAGCCTCCTCCTCCTCATACTACTCCTCCTCCTCCTCCATGCTCCTCCTCCTCCTCCTCCTCCTCCTCCTCCTCCTCCTCCCCCTTGGTGATGAGAGGACGGGAGTGGAGGGGGAGGGAAGACGATGCAGTCGGGACCGAAGAGCATGGGTCGACTTGGCTCCCCCGTGCGCCCTCTCTGGTCCTGGCCTGCTGTGCCGCGTGCCCTCTGGCTTGCTCGTGCCCCGTGGTCCCCTCGGCCCTGAGCCGTCTCGGATGCCCTCTGTCCTCGGCCGCGACCGCACTTTCAGGTGGTCACCACTCACCAAACCACCCCAACCCAACCCGAAGGCCTCAATTTGACCTCCACTTCCAGTTGGGGGGGTCGGGGAACATCGAGAAAACACATATGGAACCCGTACCCCCGCCCCCAACCCGAAATTCGGGTCTTCGGGTTGGGTTGGGGTGGTCTGGTAGGTAGTCAGGTGGGACGGCAAGCCTTGGGATCCGGGAGTGACGCGAACCCCTCCCCTGCGGGTGGCTGCCATCCACGCCGTCGAGGGTGTGTCTGCAAGCACCGGGTGTGGGTCTGCTCGCGGCGGCGATGCTGCGCTTCTCGTGTGCAGGGATGCTTGCGGTTTTCGCCAGCTGTCCAGGGAGGAACACGCGACGGGTCCAGCATGATTTCAGCTTTGTCCCTGGCACTGATTGATTCGAATTTTTTACTGACAACTTATTGACGCTAAAGGAAGATCACAGGGAGAGGAGGAGGAAGAGGTACCAGGAACAGGGGGAAGCGGAAGGACGAGGGAGCACCGATCCCAGGTGGCAGAATTGGAAGAGCACAGCAGGTCGTGCGCAACAGCGGCTGGTATTAACAGGAACGCGCCCCTGCACGCTGCACGCCGCCTCCTCGTGACGCGACGAGCGGGGTGGGGGGGTGGAATCCGACGTAAATCCGACGTGAACCGGACGCAAATCCGACGTGGATCCGACGCAAATTGGATCTCAGGTTGCCGCGCGAGGCTTCCAGGGTTTTCTACCGCCATCAATCAGCGGCGCGCCCAGGGGTAAGTGAGAAGGAGCAGGCCTTCTCAGAAGGCGGCGGAGCTTCTCTCGAAGCCCTCCGGCCTCCCGAGAAGTGCTTTGCGTCTTCGGGGAAAGTTCAGAAAGCTTCCCAGAAGGCCCGAGGCCTTCCGGGCCTTCGAGAAGGCCCGCCCCTTCTCACTTCCCCCCACGGCTCGCAGCCGAATCAGTTGAGATCCGAGGATTGGCGGGGTTCATCGAGAGTACTTGAACCCTCAACCCTACTCACACAATGAAGACGCAGCCTAACGCAGGTGCCCGTGCTTGCGTTAGGGATAATGATTATGGGGGATGTGGGTATATATCTACAGAAGAGACCCCCAATCTCCAATTGTCTTGGGCCTCCAAATTAGGTCCGCTCCCAACGGATTAGGAGTATTCTTATGCAGGGGTGGAACTGAATGCTTTGTTTGGATGATTTCGTGGGCCGTTTTCGCTTCGATTCCGTTCTGCAGCAAACGCGGGATGAAGACAAAACGAGGGGCCGACGAGGGCGATGGTAGCGGCAAACGACCACAACCTGTTCGACTGGCCCGGCGGATTTGACGATGACGATGACGCCAGCGACGACGACGACGGTTGCTGCGATTGCGAGTGCGATTGCCGCTGCGACTGCGATGTCGTTGCCGTCTGGTGGGTGCGAGAGGGAGGGGGAGTTCAGGGTGGGGAACCTTCGCTGGCGGGGGGGGGGTAGGTTCGGAGAGGAAGGATTTCCAGGATTTCCGCCATCACGCAGCGATAACAGAGGCTGAGCTCAGCACTTGGGAAACAGGTGGGGGTCGATTCTGTCTAAACATTCGCGCCTGGCCTTTGTGTCTAAGTGGGGTTGACAGGGATTACCTGAGGTTCGGAGAGGAAGGGTCGGGTATAGCCAGGACCTCGGGTAAGGGGACCCTGTTAGTGGTAGGGCCCTGGGGCCCTCAATTGGCCAGATTCACTGAACCAGGTTTGCCGTAACTGGTGTTTTTCGGGTGACGGCAGTTCCGGTTCGTGGAAATCGGGCGGGGGGGGCGCCCCCGGTACAATTCATTCAACTAGGTTCCTTCAAACCCAGTGCTGCCTACGCCCGAAAGGGGACATTTCCGCAGGGGAGGGGTCCCGGTTCCTGGGGGACCGGGGTGGTGGTGGCGCCGCCAGTGCCGCGCACACGGATGTCGCTCTCCCTCGGCCCTCCGAGGGCCGACGATGTGAAGGAGCGGGTCGCCCTGCTCGTTTCGTCGAGTGTGTTGGAGCCCCGCGTCGCCCCATTCCTCGGGGGGGAGGCAGCACACCGACACAGTGAGTCGCCGACCCTCTGACCTCCGAGGGCCGACGATGTGAAGCAGCTGGTCGCCCTGCTCGTTTTGTCGAGTGTGTTGGAGACCTGCGTCGCCCCATTCCTCAGGAGGGAGAACTGGGGGGCCACGTGCGAACCCTACCCCTGCCCCCCACGATTTTTTGGGGGAGGGTGGGGTTCACTTCGTTCGGGAACTCCCGAGCAAGATGAACCCCACCCTCCCCCCCAGAAATCGTGGGAGGTAGGGGTAGGGTTCGCATGTGGCCCCCTTGAAAACAACACACAGTCACAATGAATCGCCGATCCCCCAGAACATATGGGAAAAATTATGGGCGCTGGGGTGAAGGCAGAAACCCAGAAAAGATATGGGAGAATATGGGGGACCCTTTTATTTGGGTGTATTTGTGTGTATTTGTGTGTGTGTGTCCTGGGGCCCCCTTCAATTCTGGCGGTCTCCACTCTGTACCGCAGGTTCGGGTCGTGTCGAGCTGCGGAGACTCCGCCGCTGGCGGGCGCTCGTCGTTGAGACCGCCGCCAGCGACTTGCAACCCCTCGCCAAAATGAACCTCAAAAGTGTCTGACGTGGTTGAACTGCCAGCAACTTTTGAGGTCAACTTTGACCACGATAGTAGAGTCGGTCCATGTTGAACGCTCTTGACGTTGCGAAGACGGCCGATCTTCCAAGGCTGAACGATCCCCGCGGCGTCGGGGACCCCAAAGCTGGGGCAGACACGACACGCACCCGCGGTAGCATCAGCAACCGCTTCGGCCCACGCTGCAGCGCCCCCTCCCCCTCGCTCCGCGTGTCGGTCATCCTGCCCTCTCCTCTCCTTCCTTCCTCCTCCTTCCTCGTTTCTCTCCTTCCTCGTTTTCTCTTCCTTCCTCGTTTTCCTCCTTCGTTTCTCTCCTCCTCCTTCGTTTCTCTCCCTCCTCCTCTCCCTTCCTCCTCCCTTTCCTCCCTTCCTCCTCCTTCCTCGTTTCTCTCCTTCGCAGCCGTTTCGGCGCGTGCTGCGACCTCGAGCGCGGCCAGGCTCGAGTTTCAAGGAGCCGCGTGCCCGGCAGTACCTGAGCGGCGATGGCGGAGGGCAAGGTGCACCCAAAGCTGGGTATCCGCTTGGACAAAGTATGCTGCATCGGAGCCGGCTACGTGGGTGGACCGACTAGCAGAGAACCAAACAACGTCAAAAGCATACAGTGCCGATTTGAATACATGCTCCGCGTGCGGATCATGTATCACAAGTGCAGGGAGTTAGTATTAGACACGACGATGAGTTCATGGATAAATGTATTCATACAGTGATCACGTATTCAACATCCTATATTAAAAACAAATCCCATGTAAAACAAATCCATTGTACGTTTGCAGGGCATCGCGCGGATTTTTCCACGACGCCGGGCCCCCCTCATCGCGCGCCATTCCCCAGCGCGCCCAGCGCCGACCGGAAGAGTCCAGACGGCTTCTCTGCAAGCTATCTTTGCATGTTCTTTGGTTTCTCTAACCATGGCCACGATTGCGCACAAGTGCCCCGAGATCACGGTGAACATCGTGGATCTCAACGAGGCCCGCATCGCGGCATGGAACTCGGACTCGCTACCCATCTACGAGCCCGGGCTCAAGGAGATCGTGGACGCCTGCCGCGGCAGGCCCCATCGGGCCTCCAAAGCGGTGCCCACAGCAGCGGGGTGGTCGGAGGTCGCGCCGCATCTCCGATGCACCGTCGATGCGGCGCGATCTGCACCAGGACTGTCTCAATCACGGTGCCGCCGATGCATCGCCGATGCGTTTGCAATGCAGTGGGATCTTCTTCGGAGGAAACATTGCGCAAACATAATTCGGGGGAGCTCCGCGCGGATTTCTCTTGGCATCGCTCGGACGTGTGCATTTTCCTTCGGCGAGGACCATCGAGGATCATCCTTGATTATTTGGCGAAACAACCACGCACGAAACCGAACAAAAACACGGGGAATGGACGTCCGAGCGATGGACAGTTCTTGGACCTGCTGCGCTGGCCGTCCCCTCGCGCGCCAGGGGCGGCGCCGGAGACGCCGCCAGGGGGCCCAGCGCCGTTCCAAGAAATCCGCGCGGAGCTTCGAAAGCTTATGTTTATGCCGCTTTTCCTTCTCTAAATCTGAGTTGTTTGCCCCGGCCTCGTCTGGGCGGCCTCAAAGGATCACCGACGACTTCTCGCCCCCAATCCCCGAGTTCCCCCCCCGCCCTCCAAAAAAGCCGCTCAGTGAAGAGGCACATCTCGTGGATACGCCCCTGGGGGCGGCTCTTTGGGTACGCCCCTATCGAGGACCGACGCCCTCCCCACTGTATACGTATCCTCCCGTCTGGCCCACATCTTCTCCTCCAGTCGACAGCCCCACGGATCTCGGCGACGGGGGTCGTCATGGCCCCCGTCGCAAAGAACGGTTTCGAAAGCCAGCGGCAGAGAACAGAAGCAGGAAGGCACGCTCGCCGCGGCACGGGGCAGCCACGCGGGGCATGCCGCGCGGGCTCTGTGTAGCGTCGGGGATTGGGGCCGCAACACCCCCCGGCGCAAGGAACCTCTTCTTCTCCACGGACGTGCAGGCCGGCATCGAGGACGCGGACATCATCTTCGCCTCGGTGAACACGCCCACGAAGACCCAGGGCGTGGGCGCTGGCCGCGCGGCCGACCTGAAGTTCATCGAGAGCGTGGGCAGGACTATCGCCCAGCACGCCAACCGCAGCAAGATCGTGATCGAGAAGTCCACGGTGCCGGTGAAGACGGCCGAGGCTCTCGAGCGCGTGCTCACAGCGAACGAGCTGCAGTCAGGCTACCAGTTGAATAGGAAGAAGAAGAAGACAAATAATAATAATAATAAGAATAATAATAAGAATAATAAGAATAATAAGAATAATAATAATAAGAGCAACAAAGCGCCACAAGCAAGTACTTTTGGCGCTTCGCGCGGATTTCTTGGATCCGTGCTGGACCCCCCCGCGGCGCCTCCGGCGCCGCCCCTGGCGCGCGCCGCGCGCCAGGGAGGGAGAGGTCCACCGCAGATCCAAGAAGTCCGCGCGGAGCGCCAAAAGTCCACGTCTCTGGCGGTGTCTTCCTTCTTTCAGCAGGGCCCGTCTCCGTTCGATCGATTCGCTGCGACAGCGATTCCGGCCGGCTCGGCCCGATCCGATGCCGACGACGCCGACGACCATTGATGTGCGGCCGCACGCTCGCCTGGCACGGCGCGCGCGGCCGATCCGCCTTGACGTCGGCTCCGTGCCGATGCAGCCCGATCCGGCGCGCCCTCCGAGTCGGTCCGATACTCCGATTCGGTGCTGCTTGGGCGGGCGGGGCGGTCGGGTCAGCCGACCGACCGCCATCCTCCTCCTCCTCCTCCTCCTCCTCCTCTTCCTCCTCCTCCTCCTCCTCCAATCGGAGAATCGATCCGATTCTCCGATTCTCCGATCCTGGGCGGGGCGGTCGGGCCAGCCAGTCTTCAGAGGAGGACAGGGTAGTACTCCCATCGGTCGTTGCAAGTAGGCATTTCTGGATTCCCAGGACTCAAGCTGTTTTCGGCGCCTGCCTACTTCAAGAATCGGTCTGCGTTTGCTGCGTTCTGTTCCTCTCTGGGCGGGCCCGAACCCAGTCCACTCCATCCGCCTCCCTACTTCCTGTGTCTGCCTACCTCCTCCGACCGATGTGTACCCCGACCTCCACTCTTGCCTCGGCCTCCCCTTTTTGGGGGGCATCCTGGGCGGCCCTCGCCGCCGCGGCTGGATTCGCCCCGACATCCTGGTCAGAACGCGCCCCGCGGGAGAGGTCCGTGGAGGAGTGGCGGCGTCGGGCCCCGTGGGGGCCCTGTGGGGGCCCGCGCGGCCGCGGCCGGATGCCCCTCGCAGTGTGCACGAACGAGATTGGCACGGAAAGGATCGGTGCTCCAGATTTCGTAATAAAGGGAGGGGGGTCTCATTTCGGGGGGGGGGTCTCTTCCAGGCTATCTTGGAGGGCCCGGGGGGGTCTGGGGACGATGTTTTGGAGGGTTCTCCCACGGGGGAGGTCTGAAATGGCTTGTCTTGGAGGGTCCAGACCCCCTCCCTTTTATTACGAAATCTGGAGTACGATGCTCAACAGCAGTTCCCGTTCATTTTGAGCAGGGCTCGCTGTCCACGTCGCCGCGGCCTGTGTCCATTCGAGACAGAAGGCCGCCTGCCCCACAGCGGCCGCTGTTGGTTTGGGGCAACATGTGCTGTTGGGCATTGTACCCATTCTTTCCGTAGCCATTTCGGGCGTCCAAATCGCAGTGTGCTTGACCCGAGCGCACCTTCAGAGAGGTTCCCGGAAGGTTTCGCTCTGGGTCACCCCAAAGGTGACATCGGGTGGGTCCCTCTACAGGAGGAGGAGTATTCCAACCCAGTTCTGCAACAGTCTGGGGACGATTTTTTCGATCCTACAAGCAAAATTCGAGTAAGGAAGCGCGACTTTGCTCAGGGTACCCTTGCGTCCTTGCTCTTCCTTGCTCTTGCGTCCATGAGGTGTTCGTCGCCCGCCGCCCCAGAAATCCCGACTTCGGCTTCCAAGGGTCTTGCGTCCTTACCGCGCGTCCTTGTTAGGGTGTTTGACTGTATTGCTGTTGGCTAAAGGCGTTTTTTGTGTATGATACGCCTGCAGGAGGGGCCTGTCTTGTTTTAACACATCGGGTTAATGTTCTAAGAACATGGGTTCTAAGAACATTTCGTGGTATGACTATACGAATGCCGGGACGGTCGGTCCCTGCTCAATGTTGTTGACGAGCGGTGGGGGTACGTTTGTCCAAGGTCCGCCGGCAGGGGGGGCCTGCCCGACCCAGAGCCGCAGGAGGGCTTGAAGGTGGTCGCGTTTCGCGCACCGCGGCCTGGGTTCAGGAGGGGAAGAAGCACACAGACACAATTCATCGCCGATTCTAAGGAACATGTGCAAAAAGGTGGGAAGTGGGGGGGAAGACAACAGCCCTAAAACAAAAATACGAGCATCTGGGGAACATATTTCTATTTGTGTGTATTTCTCTGTGCGTCCTGGGGCCCCCCTTCCTGGGTGGGCGAGGCGCCCCGCTCCAGGGCGCGAGGGGCGCGAGGTTCGGCGCGGGGGGCGGCGCGGAGGTCGCCGCGCGTCGCGGGGCGCGGGGCGCGGAGCCCGTGAGCCGGGCGCGCCGCTCTGCGGGAGGAGCATGCAAGCACGGGCAGAGCAAACAAACATAGGCGGGGGCTACGATGTTTGCCCCCAAGTGTGTGTGTGGCCATCTGGGGAGTGAGTACTCCAGATTTCGTAATATAGGGAGGGGGGGTCTCATCTCGGGGGGGGGGCCTCTTCCAGGCTGTCTTGGAGGGCCCGGGGGGGTCTGGGGACGATGTCTTGGAGGGTTTCTCCCACGGGGGAGTTCTGGAATGGCTTGTCCTGGAGGGTCCAGACCCCCTCCCTTTTCTTACGAAGTCTGGAGGTGTTTTGGTGTGCTGATGTATTCTTCGACCAAGCTCCCCCCTGTAACTATATATCGGGCCGGGCGAAAGGGGGGGATTGGGAACGAAATTTGCTGCATGCAGCTGGTTTCGGCCTCACCGAGGGGCCCATTCCTCGATACATAGTCGCCTCGGGCGCTGGGAGGCGCCGGGAAAATCAGCTACGTGAGCTGATTCTCAAACCCCCCCTTTGCGATCCCCCCCTTCGCCCGACCCGAATATAGGAGGACTCGCCCGACCGAAGGCGAAGTGAGGGGGGCTCGGACCGGGCCGGAGCTTCCGGGGGGGCTGCGGGGCAGCGGGGGCTGCTGCGCGCGCGGCGGGTCGGCCTCGGCCGGGGCCGGACCCGAACGGCGTTTTGGGCGATGTCGCGGGCCGGCTTCGTCTCGATCTCGTTTGGCGGTCAATCACCACCCACCAAACCACTCCAACCCAACCCGAAGGTCTCGATTTGCCCTCCATTTCCAGTTGGGGTGGGGTCGGGAAACATCGAGAAAACACATATGGAACCCGTACTCCCCCCCCACCCGAAATTCGGGTCTTCGGGTTGGGTTGGGGTGGTCTGGTAGGTAGTCAGTCAAGGCGGATCGAAGACAAAACGAGGGAGCACGAGGTCCAAGCGAGAACGAAAGGCACCGTTTGGGTGCAGCCCTGGCCTCGGCTCCGCCGCGTGTCTCTGGATGCGTAACACGTCGCCCCCCCGGCTCCTCGAGGCTGGCCGAGGAGCCAGCTGCAGATGGCTGACTCGCTGCCTCCCCCTTTGCTACCCCCACCCCCTTCGTGTTCGACGACCGTTCAGGAATGCCCCTGGATGCAGCTCCTGGAAGGTCGAAAATCCAGTTAATCCCGCTTGATCCAGTTTGATCCGGCTTGATCTCGTTTCATCCGAGGCCCAATCTGGCGTAACAGCCCCCTAATGGGGCTTAATCCTCTTGAATGACGAAGGGAAATGCCTTGGGGAGGGGAAGGTCACGCAGCAGAGCCCTGGGCGATGATCGGTAATTGTGGTTCCTGCCCCGTTCGTGGGCGTCGTCGGAAGTGATAATCTTCGTGGCCGTCCCCTTCGAACTCTGCCCCGAATGGCAAACAAGTACCTGTTGCCACTAGCTCACCCATGTTTATTTTGAGCCGTTATCCTGTTTCGAGCCATCCCCGAGCAGGGACCGTGGGGAAGAGGTTCTACATCCTGTCGAACCCAGAGTTCTTGGCCGAGGGTACGGCCATGACGGACCTCGACAGCCCGGACCGGGTGCTCATCGGGGGCCAGGTGGAGCAGGCGGTGCAGGTGCTCGTGGACATCTACGCGCACTGGGTGCCCCGCGAGAGGATCCTCACCACCAACCTCTGGAGCTCCGAGCTCTCGAAGCTGGTCGCCAACGCCATCCGAGGAGCCACAGACTGCACGAGCAGCTCCTTCGGGGCTTCGCGCGGAGCTGTCGGGTCGGCGCCGGTCCCCCCCCACGGGCGGCGCCTCCCGCGCCGCCCCTGTGGGCGCGCTCCCCGCGCGCGAGGGCATGGGGGGGGGGCCGACGCCGGCCCCAGAGAAGCCCGCGCGGGGCTCCGAGCGTGTTGTGCGTTGTGTGCCGGCGGGTGTGCTCCTCGGGCCGTGCTCGCCCAGCGCGTCAGCAGCATCAACTCCATCTCCAGGCCTCGGGGGGGGGACAGACCTCCTGCCCCCGACGCGTCGATGCAGGCACTGGCCGTTTTTTTCGGTTCGCGAGGGGGCGGCGCGGTCGTCACTTCTGCGGGCCCAGGTCCGTCGGTTTCGGTCCCAGGCCCTGGCATCGCCCGCGGACGTGTGCATGTTTTTCTCTCGGCGAGAACCATTGAGGACGATCCTGGACCATCGGCCAAAAACAAAACCCGCACGAATCCGAAAAATGCAGGGGAAACGGACGTCCGAGCGATGGCGAGAGGCCGTTTTCACCAAGTGGAGGTTTACTACAGGGAGGTTTGTCCACCGCCGAAGGCTCTGCGAGCGCACGGGTGCCGACGTCGGCGAGGTGTCCCGGGCCATCGGCACCGACAGCCGCATCGGGAAGAAGTTCCTGAACGCCTCGATCGGATTCGGCGGCTCCTGCTTCCAGAAGGACATCCTGAACCTCGTGTACATCTGCGAGCAGTTCGGCCTGGACGAGTGCGCTCAGTACTGGCAGAAGGTGGTCGACATGAACGAGTACCAGAAGAAGACGTTCACGGGCCGGATCATAAAGGCCCTGTTCAACACCATCTCCAGGAAGAAGATTGCAGTCTTCGGTTTCGCGTTCAAGAAGGACACCGGCGACGTGCGTGAGACTCCTGCGCTGACCGTTTGCGATATGTTGATGCAAGATGGAGCGCTCGTCCACGTGTACGACCCCAAGGTGCAGAGAGAGGACGCCATTACAGAGTTCAAGTACCACGGTGTCACAGTTGACGACAAGCTCTTCACCTTCACCAACACGCCAGACGAGGCTGTCGAAGGGGCACATGCGATCGTCATTCTTACAGAGTGGGATGAATTCAAAACCTACAAGTATGACGTGTTCTACAGCAAGATGATGAAGCCAGCCTTCTTATTCGACGGTCGGAATCTTCTGGACCACGTCGGGCTGCAGAAGGTCGGCTTCGAGGTGCATGCCATCGGCAAGCCCAAAATCGGCTCGGGCACAGAGCCAATCCAGCGCGCAGGCAGTTTCAGCATGCCTGACCCGACGTACTGATATGTACAGTTTCTTTAGTGACCGCTGACAGGTTGCATGGCATCGGAACTGCTCAACTGACTGCTGTAGTAATCTCTCCGGTCTTCGAAACACTGGCATGCGACGTGATGTCGGGCACAGTTGTGTATCTTAAGCTCGTGACTCGGTTGAGTGTAGTCTTGTAGTCCAGCACGACTTATTTTTCCTTATTTTCCCAATTGCTGGGATCATTTCCCAGGCGCAGCTGACACGGCCGCTGTTTCTCTCAACATCCTCCTCCTCCTCCTCCTCCTCCTCCTCCTCCAGCTGCCGCTTGGCTTCAGCAGAGCAGCGCAGCACAGCGAGCATATGAAACCACTCTTATGGCTTGCTCTCTCCTGACACACCTCTGGGCTCTCGGGCCAGCCCTGATGTCGTCTCGTATTCTTTCCACTCTCTTCTTCAACCCGCTGCACGCCAGTGGGGACCGCATGGTTGAGCTGCTAGACGAGTTTCAGAGATTTGATATTGTTGGTTTGGCAGGCACACAGATCAAGGAGGTCGCGGATGAGGGCTACAGCATCTCGACGCAGGCTTCGAGAGTGGTCGTTCAAGCAGGTTGGCGAGCGGGGGGATTCTCGAATCGGTCGTGCGGGTGTGCCTGCATACTACCTCCCAGATGGACTCAGAGGAATATTCGGAAGATTGACCTTCCACCCAGGGCGCTCCAGGGACGAGGTCTCGCCGTGGAGTTGTCGCGTCATGGGTATCTCTTTTACGTGATAGTGGTATACTTTCCTCCCAAGCCCAATAAGTTGCAGCAGGTCAAGCAGTACTTGTCCGCCTGCAAACAAATTCGAGACTGGCTTTGGGAGATTCTACGGGTGCTGCCTATGCGGGTCTCTCCTATAGTGATGGGCGATGTCAACGACGGACTGGGCATATCTAAGCTGAATGGTGAATGGCAGGAAGTACCTTCGTCTGCACTGGGACCAGTTCGAACTCGAGAATGTCACAGACATGGAGCGGGGGAATCGTTCAGAGAAGTTCTGGAAGAGTATGGGCTCTTCGTGCCCACGACGGTGCGGTCATGGTCCCCCACCTTCTTCGGGTCCGCAGGTGGTGCCTCCATGATCGACTTTGTCGCGATCCCCATGGAGTGGTGCGAGAGAGTGATGATGGCGAGTCCGATTCATAGATTGGGAAAGCGGGTTCAGGTTATCAAATGCCGGGACTACCGAGACCACACACCAGTTTTACTCAAGATGAGAGTCCCACATGTTGCTGCAGCTCAGCGACAGAATGCGGCGGCCTCCCCTGATGGGATTACATACTCACATGTGCAGTGGGATCGAGATAAACTGATGAAGAATCTTAAAGGTGGACAGCTTCGTGAGGGTTTCGTGCGTGAGGTTGAGAGACGTCTTGCACAAGACTGGCCAGCCTGGGAGCACAGAGAAGCAGAGCCCGACGCTATCGTGCTGCACTTGGACGGAATCCTTAGGGAAGTGGGGGCACAGTTTTTCTCTCGGGGTGCACGTCCTGAGTCGCAGAGGTCCCAGCTGGCCGAACAGCGTCTCGCTCTCCTAAGACAACGACGCGAACTTCGAGCCAGGATGAACCACGACACGACTGATGACGAGTTCGCTGCATGTTGTCAAGAGCTTCGATCGATTTCGGCCAGATGTAAGAAGATAGCGAGGGATGAAAAAAAGAAGAAGCAGGAGCAGTTAGTGGAAGAAATATGGCAGGCATGGAAGCGACGAGACCTGGCTCTCGTTCAGCGCCTTTCGCGCAGACTTGCTGGAGGTCGATTTGGGCGGGCCCGTCGCGACTACAGTCGACTTGACGGGATGATGCCGAGCACTGAAGAATGGATGGGCGTATTGGGAGCTGCGGGTTGTGAGGGGGGACTGGCTGCGCATCAGGCTGATTGGCAGGAGATGGTGGACATGAGACAGATTTGGCGACACTCTCCTCCGACGGCCGAGTCAAGGCCAGAGCGTCTCCAAGAGGCCTGGCCCCAAGCTACCATCGACATGGAGCAGCTGAGGCACTACACCAGGAGGGCGGGCAAGCGACGTAGCGTTCCTCCATGGTCGTTGCCGCTGGAGCTGTGGTACCTGGTCCTGCACACGCCCGCGGCCCCCGAGTCGAATGTGAGCCGAGTAGGGTTGGGGGCTGACACCGCCATCACGGACGCGGTTGAGGCCAGACAGTGGATGCATAAGTTTTTCACCATGATACGTTTCTGGGGAACTGCCCCCTCGATCTGGAATTGCAGTCGAGGGTTCGTGATACCAAAAAGTGCTCTTCCTGGACCTCGGGGGAAACGTATAGTTCATGGGCTGGATCCTATCTCCAAGGGGTTCTTCGAGGGCCTGATGAGGCTGGGACCGAAGTATGTAGATTCGGATTGTGACCACGGCTTTCTGAGGTCTCGGAGGCGAGAGGATGCGATCGTTGCCAATATGTGTACTTCTTGGAGGCTGTCGGCTGCAGGCTTCTCGTGGTGTGATTCGCTTAAGGACCTGACGAATGCGTTCGCCTCTTCACACTGGGCTAAATTAGATCAGGTGTGCCACAATCTTGTTCGACCTCGGGATATTCGTCTTTGTCGTCAGCGTCATAGGTGTTCAGGATGTCTTCTGCCATCGGCCGAGGGGTCACTCTTCCTTAGACCTGGGTGCGGGAGCCTCCAGGGGGATCCATATGCCGTGAGGTCATTTGTGAGAGTCTTTCGGCCACCTGTCGATCGCTGGCTTGCTCGATTCCAGGAGTATGATGAGGAGGGGGAGGCGTGTCTGTGGGCTACTATTCCTGAAGAGGTCCTCCCTGGGTCTCCACAGGTGTACTTGGGGCTCCAGAAGTTTGCGGACGACCTGCTTAAGAAGATTATCTTGGGGCCTCCGTTTAGGGTAGAACACTTCCAGGACCTTCTCACCACTAACGATAGGATGCTGGATGAGGAGTTGGCTGCGATTGGCCTCAGGCGTAACGAATCTAAACAGGAAGCCCTTCTGCGAGTGCCTACCAGCTACCGAAGACGTGCCGCTGCAGTGCTTCGGAATCTTGGGACTCGAGTGACTGATGAGGTTCGTTATCTCGGTCCGTTTCTCACCTCTGCTCAGACGTTCAGTGCAGAACTTGTGAAGCGGGTGCGGGCCATGAAGGTGGCCTTCTTCCGACTTGGACGTTTCTGGTATCAGAAGGGTGTGCCACACCGATGGAAAAGATGCATCTTCCTCTGTCACGTGCTGAACACTGGTCTGTCTGGAGTGGAAGCGTTTGTCTTGACAGCTTCACAGTTGCGCACCCTGGAGCTAGCGGTTGCGGGACTTGCCCGACGAGCGATGCGAGGCGAGGCGACGTGGGAGGACGAGGATGGTCAGATCAGGAGCATGACGACGGAGGAGGTGATGAGGTGGTGGAGGTTAGTGCCGATCGCGAGCGAGCTCCGAGTACGACGTCTCCGCTGGCTCCAGGCCTGCGTCCGTCGGCCTGGCGCCCACAAGCAGATGATTGCCGCTGTCTTTGGGAGTGTGCCCTATGAGGAGGAGGGTATGTTCTTGCCGAATGGGTCTCTGAGGTATGGGGCGAATCCGTGGGCTCGGCAGTTTCATGATGATGTGGTGGAGCTCTCGCAGTGGAATGAAGACGCGGCCTCGTGTTGGGACAGGGCGGGCGGGTCTCTTCTCCAGTTGTTCACGTTTGAGATAGGCCAGGACTTCACCAGGGTGGATGTGAGTATTCTTCGGAGTCGTCACTTCGACGTTGAGGTGCTCCCCCCTGGGCTCCAGCTGTTCACCTTGAGGAGGGCACCTGTCGTTCACCTGTGGATGTGGAGGATGCGTCTTCGGACAGGTCGTCAAGCTCTCACGATACTCACGGTTGAGGTGAGGTCCTGTCCCCCCTGGGCTCCAGCTGTTCGAGGACCCCGTCGCGCTTGAGGAGGGGGCCCTTAACACGCACCTGTCGTTCACCTGCCCGTGGATGCTGGAGGAGGGGCCCCGTGGGGCCGCTTTTGCGTCACGCAAAGGTCTCGTGAATCATCTCCGACAGGTACATGGTGCTCTCAAGCTCTCACAGATACTCACGGTCACTAACCAATGTATCTCGTGTGGTGAGGTCCTGTGGGACCGCAAGAGCGCCCAAAAGCACCTCCACGGGGCCCTGATACACGGGAGATGTCTTGGAGATAAAGCGTCCACTCTGAGGCCCCTTACCCGTCTTGAACAAGTACGCTGCGGCCTTTGTGGCTCGAACTGGACATCCCTGGAGGCTTACACCGAGCACGCCTGCACCCACCTGCCGTTCCGCCCGCGGGTGCAACCTCTCAAGCATGCCCGAGACCGACGTGCAGATGTGGGACGAGGACCTGTTCCAGGGCGAGCGGCCGATGTGGGCCCTCAGCTCGTGCGGCGTGAAGCGGGGCAGCGACGGCGAGCCGGCGCCAAAAGAGGCCCGAGTGGCCGAGTCTCAGGGTGGCGGCACAGGCGCATCAGGCAGCCGCAAGGACGAGAAGAACCTGCTGGAGGCCGTGGCGAGGCTAACCTTGATCAACGCAAGAGACGTCGCCAACATGGAGAGCAACGTGATTCAGACGTACTTGATCCCCAAGGACCACTTCCTCGCGCGAGCGGGGCTCGCAGCCAACGAGTACTACACGAAGTCGATCGCAGAGTTGAAGGAACGCAAGAAATCAGATCCCGAGGTCGACTTGGGTGCAATGGGCCCACCTTTTGTCACGGTTTTCTACATGATCATGAGCGCGGCGAAGAAGCGTGCCGAGACGGTTGGAGACGGATCGGGAGCAGCGCCCATGCGCGAGTTCTGGGAGCAGTACGTCCACCAGAAGCCCCCGAGCTTCATAGCGGAGTACGTGACGCACTTCTCGCTCCAGGTGCCGAGGGGCGATCACAGCAAGAAGATGGAGGGGAAGGCGAAGTTCCGCTTCGTGATCCACGGCGATCACCCCGCAGGCCCCAAGCTCAAGTCCATCCTCATGGCCATCCTGGCCGAGATCGAGTATCAACGGCTGGTGGGGTCGGCGCCGAGGGGTCCGCTCGAGCGCCAGATCGCTGCCCTCCTCAGCAAGCGAAAGTAGATGCAGAATTGATGAGGGGCTCCCTGACTGGTGGGGACAGCTCTGGAGCCCAGCGAATTCATACCTCAGTGATCGTGGGCACTTCTTCTCAGCGAACGGGTGTTACAGATAGTGGAGTCTCAGTATCTGGTGTTCAACCTGAAGGGTCTGGAATCTCTGATGGATCTAGTGTGCCGCCAACTATTTCAAGTACTGTGGGAGCTGAGTGGGCTCAGGAAGATATGACGACACGCAAGCGGTCTCCCAGTGCGTCGACCTCCCTGCCCCCGCCCAAGGCTCGTGTCGTGAACCAACTTGCCCTGCCGCAGGCGCTGAGGGATAGCGTCCGCCTGCAGCAGCTCATGCGCCGCGGTGTCATCAAGGACATCCGAGTGGGAGCTGGTAGGGATGTTTTCGTGGTGGGAGCGGGTGGGGGTGGGTCGGGAGTGGGGGGGGTGGAGGAAGAGAGGATCGCTGCTGCCGCCTCTGATCGGGAAGAGGGTCGTGCGCCGAGGTCCAAGGCGGCCCGTGCCAGGCCTAGGTCCCAGGAGGTAGGATGGCAGAGGCAGTCGAGACGTAGGTAGAAGGTGAGGCTGGTGCCCGCAGGCACCCCGCGTGGCTGTCCACGCATTGGGGCCCGCCTCGGGGCCAGCGGGGGTGACTCCCTCCAGCTGAGGGCCCTCCAGCAGGTTTTTCTTTGGATTCCGCGGGTTATTGCCCTCGCAGGGACTCGTGAATGGCCCCTTTTGAGGCCCTCGTGTTTCGTTTTCCTCTGACCACTCTTGGAGTCCCCGGCGTTTCTTGGTCTTGGTCCTCCTCCTCCTCCTCCTCCTCCTCCTCCTCCTCCTCCTCTCGGGGGCCTATGGTGAGCTTCAGGTGAGCCTGCAGGTAGCCGGTTACGGGGGTTCCTCGGGCCGTCTGGCGGCTCTCGGTCCAGGTTGCCTCATTTTAGCCGTTTGGCATCTCCACCCTTGAGTCGGGCATATCCTTCTACAGGAAGAATACTCAAAAATAGTCCATCAATAGTCTGGGGACGATTTTTCTAGAAATCAGTTGTTTATTATTGTTTTTGAGTGGAGGAGGAGGAGACGGAGGAGGAGGAGGAGAAGGAGCAGGAGGAGGAGCAGGAGGAGACGCAGGAGGAGGACGACGGGAGGTTTTTGTTCGGCGGCGGCTCCCGGGAGGCGCTCCACACGAGTCTCCCATGGGGTGCCCACGCCGCGAGGTGTCGCAGCGCAGAGTGCCGCCCTCACCCCGCCCAGGCAATAAGCCGGGCACGTCCCTCTACAGCAGGAGGAGGAGGAGGAGGGGGAGGAGGAGGGGGAGGAGGAGGGGGAGGAGGAGGGGGAGGAGGGGGAGGAGGAGGGGGAGGAGGAGGAGGAGAAGGAGGAGGAGGAGGAGGAGGAGGAGGAGGAAGACGAGGAGGAGGAGGAGGAGGAGGAGGGGAGAGGAGGAGGAGGAGGAGGAGGAGGAGGAGGAGGAGGCTGCTCCTCGATGGCCCTCGCCGAGAACACCTGCACACATCCGAGCGACGCCAAGGCGCAGGCGCCGCCTGGGGCGCTCGCCCGAGGCGGCGCCTGCCTCTGCGCGCGCACGTGCGCCCCAAGCGGACATGATCGACCCACGAACCCGGAAAGGAATATAGCACTGGAAGGCACAGCAGCGTCTCAAAGACACCCGACTGCGCGACGGGCGAACGTGATGTTGAGCGTATCTAACCCGGATAAGCGATTAAGGACCCCCCCCCCCCTCTCCGGTGAAAAGATAACGCACCCGGCACCCGGAAGCGTTATCCTGGCACCAGGAGGGGGTACACCCTCCTGAAAGAATGAGGAAACGCATGCGGAGGAGTCAGAGAGCTTCAGTGGCCACGCGTCTTTCCAGTGCTCGACCCTCGCTGTTCGGTGCCGTAACCATGTACACTGATCCACTCCTACTCTGGCTCGGGGATTTATTTTGGTCCTGCCGGGTGCTAAGATAACGCCGCGGTGCGGGGCGGGGGCGATACCCTGGGATGGACCACCTCCTACGACGGCCGAAAAAAATATTTTTTCCAAAGGGGTTGCAATAGAAATCTCATTAGAAAAATGGGGGCTGGAGGAAGAGAAGGAGGAGGAGGAGGAGGAAGAGGAGGAGGAGGACACGGAGGAGGACGCGCTCACAGACAAGGCTCCCGCCTTGGACTTCCTCCATACTCAGGCCTTGGGGGTACTCTGCGAGGGTCACTGCGAGGGTCACAAGTTCTCCTTAGCTTTTCCGTAGTTGTCCTTAGCTTTTCCTTAGCTTTTCCTTAGTTTTCCTCAGCTTTTCTTTAGTTTTCCTTAGTTTTCCTTAGCTGTTCCCTAGCTTTTCAATAGTTTTCCTTAGCTTTTCATTAGTTGTCCTTAGCTTTTCTGAGCTTTTCCTTAGCTTTTCTTCGCTTTTCTGAGCTTTTCTTGATCTTTTCCTGAGCTTTTCTTAGCTTGTCTTAGCCTTTCCTTAGCTTTCCTCAGCTTTTCTCAGCTTTTTCTTAGCTTTTCTAAGCTTTTCCTTAGCTTTTCTCAGTTTTTCCTTATTCGTATTCGTATTCTTATTTTCATTACAATTCTAATTGGGATGCCACCCGAGGCGGGGCGCTGGAATTATTTATTTTCCTTCCATGTGCGCGGTGCTAATAATATCGCTCGGCGAAAACCCCCCCCCAAAATAATTATTTAATTACGGCGCGGTGCTAATGATAACGCCGGGGGGTTCCTTAATTGCTTCTCCGGGTTATCTCGATTCTTTTCTGAGGCCTCGGCCGCGCTTAGCCGTCGCTTCGCGCGTTGCTCTGTATTTGTTTTTCCCGCGCTTCCTTTGCCTAATTCGTCTCTGCGTAGCCCGCTTTGACCTGACTCGCCGCCTGCGCGCTCGCCCGCGGCCGCTGACTAGAAAGTATCGATCTCGATGTGCCGTGCCGAGGGCTGTGCTGTGCTGCGCCGTGCCGAATTGCGATGTGGCATGCCGCGATTGTGCTCTATAGTGTTGTGGGTCGAGTCCTCCTTTGCATCCGAGCCCTGACCGAACTGACCTGGATCTTAAGCTCGAGCTGCCGGAGCACATAGCAGCTGCCCCAGCTAACTGACAGGGGGACATGCTGGGAGGATGTGCCGCGGAACGTCCCAAGGTATGTGCCAGGCGACGTGCCGGGGGACGTACCATGAGGACGCACCGCGGGACGTGCCAAGGGGACGCGCCACGGAATTTGCCCATGGACGTGCCACGGGACGTGCCAGTGGACGCGCCGCGCGACGTGTCAGGGGGACTCGCCACTGGACGCGCCTCGGAACGTGCCAAAGAACGTGCCAGGTTGCAACGCTGAGTCGATCGATCTTGATGTACCATGCCGTGGGCTGTGCTGTGCTGCGCCGTGCTGAATTGCGATGCGGCATGCCGCGGTTGTGCTCTATAGCGTTGTGGATCGAGTCCTCCTTTGCATCCGAGTCCTGACCTAACTGATATGGATCTTAAGCTCGAGCTACTTGGGCACATAGTAGATGCCCATAGCTAATTTTGACAGGGGGACATGCTAGGAGGATGTGCCGCGGAACAGGGGACGTGCCATGGGGACGCACCGCGGGACGTGCCCAGGGGACGCGCCACGGAACGTGCCAATGGACGTGCCACGTGACGTGCCAGGGAACACGTTAAAACATTTGATTCCGCCATGTCAAATGCCCCCCTGGGCGGCCTGGAAACGTAAAAGCAAGCGGGACCAGTTCTGGGCAACCATGTTAGATACACCCCGGGGTGGCCTGGACACGTTAAAGCACGCGGTCTTTGTTCGGGACAACCGTGTTAGATGCCCCCTTTGGGTGGCCAGGACATGTAAAAGCACGTGGTGCCAGCTCGGGACAACCATGTTCGATCCACCCGTGAGTGGCATGGACGCGTTAAAACACGTAGTCCTTGATCGGAACAATCATGTTAGATACCCCCGTGAGTGGATTGGGCACGTAACAACACGTGGTTCCAGTTCGGGACAACCATGTTAGATACCCCCCTGCAGGGCCTGGATACGCTGAATTCGCGCTTCCGCCCGAGACTTAATCGCAATGTCTTCCCTGGAGAGGCCCCCACAGCGCCACCCCGTTTCCAGAGCAAGAAAACACAACTTTTCTGTATTGGGATCTGTGTTCGGGTAGCGCTTTTCGGCCCCCCGTGCGTTTCCTGGTAATTCGGCGTTGGGCCCGACGCCATGTTGGATAGCCCCCCTGGGTGGCCCGGACACGTATAAACATATGGTTCCAGTTCGGAACAATCATGTTATATACCCCCCTGGGTGGCCTGGACACGCAAAAACACGAGGTTCCAGCACAGGACCACCATGTTAGATACCCCCCTGGGAGGCCTGGACACTTGAAAGCACATGGTTCCAGCGCTGGACCACCATGTTAGATACCTCTCCTGGGTGGCCTGAACATGTAAAAAGTTAGATACCCTTTGTGTGGCTTGGACACGTGAAAACTACGTGATTCCAGCTCGGGGCCACCATGTTAGATACCTCCCTGATGGCCTGCACACGTAAAAACTCACGGTTCCAGCCCGCCCAGGGGGGATATCCAACATGCGGTCGTCTGGGGCGCCAGCGACGGACAGCCATGTTGGATACCCCCTTGGGCGTTCTGGGCACGTGAAAGCCAGCGTTTCGCCTGAGACATCCTCTGAATTCGGCCCCCCTCGAGACATCCCCCAACTCTGCAAAACCAGCGTTTCGCTCGAGAACTCCTCAAGAAAGTCTGAAACAGCACGCGTTTCGCGAGGGGCATCCTCAATTTTCCCACGCGGAATGAGACTTTAATGCGTTACTCACCGCAAAAAAATCCGCCAGCCCTCTTCCCGTAGGGGCCGGAGGGTTAACCAACCACAAGATAACCTTGGGCCCACGCCCATTCCGGGACAAATAGCACCAAAAACGAGTCAGGGGGCGATTTCTTTTTTTTATGTTTTGACTATGCGTGAACTTTTTGGGTGTCAAAGACAAGGGTTGGGAAATCGTGGTGTGAGATGGCCAAACAAGTTGAGACATGGCAGATTTCTCAAGACGGGTACGTCAAACACATATGGCGCTAATCCGTATCGATACGCCTCACATCTGAGCAGCAGCCCGGCCTTCCTGGAGTCCAGCGCGTTTGGCGGGCTTGCCGCCCTTGTAGGGTCGCCTCATTGCGACTGCAGACTAACTCGTTCGTTCGTTCTTCTTCTAATGATGTCTCCCAGATATCATGGCCCTTTGTGGGCACTGGAAATGGCAGGGCCGTTATTTTACCGGTTCCGTTCTGCCGTTTTGTTGCCGGTTCCGACGCCGTTTTTTTACCGGTTCAGTCGCCGTTTTGTGACCGGTTCCGGCTCCAGTTCCAATCCTGGAGCCGTTTTTTGCCGTTTCCGGTCGCCGTTTTTTTGCCGTTTCCATTTTCAAGGGACATTTTTCTGGAAACGGTGAAGAAACGGCCCTGCCGTTCCAGGGCCCACAAAGTCATGGCCCCGTCTTCCTTCGGGGGAGCGTAAGACCCGGGTTTGCCAGGACTCGGGTTCGCCATCATTTTTTGACGACCGCGCGTCGGATTTTGACGAGGAGGAGTTTCGTGGGATGTCTGCAGCGGGAGGCCTCGTCAAAATGCAGGCTCGGCCTCGCCATTTTTTTGACGACCTCGTCGGGGATTTCCGAGTCCCCCGTGCCCGGGTCTTACGATTCCCCGATTCCTCTCCCCGTGCGATCCCCAGCCCTCCCCTGGTCCGCGGGGCATGCCCTGGGCCACGACGCGCCTCTCTTCGGGCCGAGGTACTCGGGGGAGCAGCGGGCGTTTGGTGGCACGGGTCCGCGCGGTTCCAGGTCGGGGTGCAAAGGGGTGGAGGAGGAGGAGGAGGAGGAGGAGGAGGAGGAGGAGGAGGACGGGGACGAGGACGGGGACGGGGGCGAGGAGGAGGAGGAAGAGGAGGAAGGGACGAGGAGGAAGAGGAGGAACTCTCCCACGCCTCACGTCCACGTGC